GCTCTCTCTCTCTTCACCTCTTTCTCTCTTTTAATCTTGTATTGTAGAGGACGTTTTTGGGACAAAGTTTGCAACGACGTAGATTGTTTTTATACGATGCTTCATTATTTTGTGCGTGTATGTTAAGTGAGTTTGTATAATACAGTCATCGTGTCTATAAAATTTTAAAAGTTATAGCCTTATAGCAACCAAATTGCGAAAATATCTTCGTACAATTTTTTAAAATTATAACTATTCCAACCTTTTGTTCCACCAAAGAGCTTTCAGTGTTAGGAAGCGTGAGAATAATATTTTTTGTTTGACTGATTTTTTGTTCTTTTATTTCGTGAAAATAATACGATTTTAAAAAATTTGAAGATAACGAGATTGACATTATTGGTTGATTGTGTGTGATGGACAATTCATAAGTTTATTTTTTTATATATGAAATGGTACAATAAAAATAATAAAACCACCAGACTCCTTATTCTTAAGAAAATAAACTAAACAATTGTTAAAAAAAGAGCCGTATGGAGTCAGCGTCTTAAATTGTAATTTTTACGTTTTGACTTTAGTTCAAGCCATCCTCATCAGTGTCAGTATTTATAAAACACGATTGACAAAATTCCGTATGTAGATATATAGAGATATATAGATAATTAATTCGTTGCTCTAATATATTTAAAGAAGCAAGATATCCTCCATCAAACAGTTATGTAACTGGTGGCATTGCCTCCATGTCCATTTTGATAAGAGTAAATTCAAATTTCACTTTTTTTTTATTCTTTTTAATTTAATTTAATTCTTTTTTTATTCTTCTGTGAAACAGTGTAAATTCAAGAGCTCGCCTTTATTTTTTATCGGCGATGTAAGCAAAACTTGGAAAAAAAAAATATATTGTCCTATAATTTGATACGATTTTGATTCGTACACATCTTATTGTTTAATTACTAGAAATACATTGTTATATAATGCTTTTTTAATTAAAAAAAAATTAAATCCATTTTTCTTTTCATATAAATTTGAAACAAACTTACCTCTGGATCATTTGATTCCGTCCTCTTGTATGTAAACAAAGGAGCCAACTTGTCATAGAGGTTTACGCGTTCGTGAAGATCCTTGAACGGATTTTTAGTACTGAAGAAATCGAGGTCGACGTCCAAAATATACGGAGTGTCTTTTTCAGGAAGATATTGGCGCAATGCTGAACTGACGGCTGTGAAGTCATCTTTCTGTAACATCAAGTATCAAATTCACATTATAGCATAGGAATTTTGATGGCGTAGATTTTAATATTTTTAAAATTTCATTATTTAATATTTTTAAAAACATTAAAATTTACTTTTAAATTTCAATATTTTAAATATGATTTTTTAATATTATATCAAGATTTTTATCAGTTTTCTTTTATGTTATCAAATATTTTTCCAACGTTTCTTTAAAAATGAAATCATCTTTCTGTAACAGAAATATCTAATTCATATTATAGTATACGCGAATTTTGACGGCGGAGATTTTAATATTTTTGAAATTTTCAATATTTTTTAAAAAATATTAAAAAACTACTTTTAAATTTCAAATATTTTAAATATTACTTTTTAATATTATACTAAGATTTTTATAAGTTTCCTTTTACGTTATCAAAATATTTGTCCAACGTTTCGTCAAACATAACTGCGATGTAAACAGTGGCTCGCGTAGTTTTACAAATTTTTTATACATTTTCTACATTTTTCAACACTAATAGTAGTCGTACTATTTTGGTTATTTGTCACTGAAAGCGAGGTTGTTCACTGGAAGCTATCGCGTGATGAAACACGGGCATTCAGTTCTGCGAATTAGCGACGCTATATTACTCAATCCTTTTTTGACGCTGTTCGTTGGGCACTGACATCACTGGCAAAACGTTGACGATAATTACCAATAAAATGATCGATTGCCGATGTTATATCGACGACCCACGGTTCAATTTTCGAACGGGATTTCACTACCATAGGAATACACGGGGCGGTCGGCGGCGGTGAGGAGAGAGATCGGCGACGTGCGCAACCGTTCGTATGAACCGGATATTGTTCGTAGCGGGGCAAAACGATGCCGCCCGCGTATAGAGGGTTTTTTGTGACGCGCAAAAAACAATGACTGCACTCGAATTAATTCTGTTAGAATTGATACTCGGGGCCCGGCACTGGGATCGCAATTTGCATGCGTTCACAACAATGAAACGGCGCACGCGGGGCGAGCTGCAATACTATCGCGAGAGGAGGAAAAGGGGGGAAGAATTGGGAGGAGGGGAAAAACCAACAATCAGACTGAGCAGTGGCTCTCAAAGCTCGTAATGTTCCCCACGCGTCGGTAATTTTTCAAAAAAAAAAGTTTTACGACCGAATCGCGTAAATAAAAAAAAAAAAAAACGAAAAAAAAAAGCTTAAAACGTAAAAAAGAGATAACGAAGAGAGATAAGATATTAATCGAAAAATAAATCTTTATCAAGATAGAATAATTATTTTTTAATGATTGTGACGTGACATGTTTAGTACGTAGAATCGTAAGTTCAAAATCATCAATTAATCCTTAAATTATTAATTTTCGATTTGACATAACTTTACCCCAATGTTTCTTACTTTAATATTCCGAGAAAAAAGTTCCATATATGCAATTATATGTAATTATATATAAATATATATATAAAAAATTGAAATATTTTATATACAATTATACGTAATTACATATTAAATATGTCTATATAACATTTTTCCCGGGGATACTTTTTCATCAAGCAATTGAATTAAAAATTTAAAAAAATGGCAATGATTTAAAAACTATCTATTTCAATTGACTATTGGACTATTGAAATTATCTATTTTTTTAATAGGTATAAATTATGCAATGGTTAAAATGCTAGCTAATTTCCATAAAAAAATAAGAACGTTCCATCTGTTCTGTATTATTTATATATTTCTTAAAACGTGAGAAAAATCTATTACGCTACCAATATTTTAACAATTAAAAATGTTGTATTATTAAATATTATAAATCTGCATTCGAATTATAATATAGCTCAAGTACAACAGCGGAATTCTCTGAAGCAAAGAGATTAATTTTTTGTGCTTCGAATCTGCCACGTTGGCTGATAAGATGTTCATCGATCTTACATCTGATTTAATACAATATGATTTTTTTAACTATACCGCTTGCGAATCTAATTGACGACAGTGATGCCAACGAAGAGGCAATGCAATAAATGTGTTTTTGATTGGAATCTTTCACACAAAGATCAATCTTTTTTTTCTTCAGCAAGATGAGCCTACAGAATATATGCGTTTATTATATGCAATAATTTTATTACGACATTACGTTATTTTCTTATCGTTCTCATGAAGTGCATAATAATCATAATACTTGTGCAAATATCACGATGTTGGAATATCACAAGTGGACATATCGCAGCAAAACACATAACTGCACAGAAAAGTTATTTGCGATTTATATTTAAACAATTTTTTAATTGTACCCTTATCTTGCGAATTTGTACAAGCGACAAGCAAAGCTAACAAAGCGAGACGCATATATGTACGTGCGATGATTCAGTCGAATAATCTATAAGAAAATAACGAATAATTCCTTTTATAAATTATTGAGTGAAACAAAAGAAAGACTGCAAGACTTGCATAAAATGGCAGAAACAATTATCGAAGGAATTGCCTATCTCTACGCCATATTGTTTTCAAGTTATCTTCGATAGGTTTTCCTTCTTACTTGACTAATGCCCAGCAGGCATACATTAACATTTAAAATTTTCTTCATACGGGTCTTCTCTATTGCATGATGCACGAGCATATATGTTAAGAACTTTCCACTCGATAGTGATTAATATTTTCAAACGAAACGTCATTATGCTATACATATATATCATTCTTGACAATAATTGTTAAATACTTAATGTTAACTGCATAATTTATCTCGTAAAGTATTTTTTTCTTATCAAACGTCATTTCTTATGCTCATTTTTCTTCAGATTTCAGTTCCAACTTCCAATCCACTTAATTTGTATTGACTTGTAACGAAAATCATACGCATTATAAATTATTTGTAAACTTAATATTCATCCAACATGCTTACAGCGCACGACATGTCGTTAATTTATTTTTGTGGCGCATCTTTTATTATCGTATAAAAGGTATACGATAAAATGAAAATACGCCACTGTTAACAAATACGGCACTGTTAACAATTGTCAATTATAATACAGGAAAATGCTCAAAGAGGAATGTCATTGTCGGCTAAATTTAAATCGTTCGAGCGCGATAGTCGGACGTTGCACCCGGCGTAAATGCAATAACACAATCCGTCGACTTCGATTTCGGCAGATATTTTCGTTCATGCATCGAAGTTAGAATGTGATCGCAATAATATTATTTTCGTACGTGCGAAACAAGATATATTTTTTTAAACGTACAACAAAGATTATAGATAAACCAAATTTGTAAATATTTGTTAGCTTCAATCTTGTATAATTTTATGTGCAATAACTTTATTAATATTCACGACATCGAAATAAAACAGTCACTCATTGATTTTCAACGTTAAATAAAGTACAATAATTAAAGTGTTCAATAATTACTATACTGATCATCGAACAGTGGAACTGATTTTTTTTTCTCTCTTTCATTTTGTATTCAAATAATTCATAACAGTTGTTTTTTAAAGTTTCCAGAATTTTTACTATGCAATTAGAGCGCTCCGAATAGAATTCATATAAAATCCAACATTTCGATCATGATTTCGTCACTTTTATTTCTCGATTCTTACAGATTTCAAATCATTTTTCGAGCATACGTTTGCTGTTTCCTTTTTCCTTGATCAATTCTAATAAAAGCACTTGAAAGAGCAATTAAATGTACATTTGCGCAAATGAATATATACTTGAATAACACCGAACGAGCCTCACGAGAAGCATGTGGCCGCCCGCAAAAGGCTTACGTCTCTATGTGTGTATGCAACAGAAATCGTCGACCACAACCGCCGTCGCGGCCACAGTTAAGACGCGAGCGGTGCCACATGCAAATAGTTGCATTGTCTTGACCTGAAGTGGCGTGATCTCAATCGATTTATTGTGCTTTCACCGGCAGCTACGAGAGAGCGTAGCGTCTAAAATTACAGCTCGCTCATTTGTACCGGCATTTGTTCATGAAAACGCGAGCGATTTTCCATTATAACTTTCCATACATTCAGGAAAATTGCGTCGAATAAATTAAAAATTAATTCAAAGTGTGCGCAGATTATACAACTTGAACTCGAAATTGTCTGTCAAATTGCGTTAGTTACATAAAATTGCGTTCAGTTGTTTAAACTTTTGGAAAAAAAAATATAAAAAATATATATATATATAATGATAAATAAAATATGACACGGTAAAAAATCATTTTGCACATTTAAAAATAAGTTTGCACTATTTTGTTCGATATATCAAATAAAAGTCTTTTTCTAATTCTTATTATTTTTATTTATTTATTTTTTTTTTCAGACTAAGTTCCATTTTATTCTGATCTTTTTTTAATTATCGTATTATTACTTGCGTATGTACATAGGAATATGTGACGTAGATGTTATGCGAATACAATATAATAAGTTCGGGTTTATTCGCTAAAAATGATCGGTCATTTTTATGAGGATTAATTCGATGTCATGATTACTACGTAACCGTAGCACTCATAAACAGATATCTATTTAATAAATCTAGAAATTGAAGTATTTCATATTTTCTACAGGCACAAGCCGTTTTAGATCAACAATAACATAACGCACGCTTTTGGCTTTACACTAATTACTAATGGCTTCATTATCGAATTGTATAATTGCAGATATATAATACAAGATATATAAAGTAATAATATGATAAATACATGAAACATTAATCATAAATATTTAATGAGAGTACAGTTCTGAGAATAGGTAATTTTATATTAATTTTATATATATATATATAAAATCGATGTATTCGAGGAAAAATTGTTCACTGCTCACTTCTTTCAAATAGAACGCCTAAGCGAACGCCTTTTTATTAATAAATTGAACTCGATATATATATATATATGAGACAACGAAGTAACATCTGTATAATCACAAATATCTACTTCTTCAATCCGATACGCATTCGCTCGCGAGCAATGCAATGAGTCTGCATATAGCGAACATTACGCAAGCGACCGAAGTGAATTCGACGCAGAAGTCA